GTATGAGCAAAGATCATGCATGCGTAGGACATGATTGGCCGTACGCAAGATTTATATACTTAATAGTAATTTGTGCCTTACGGGCATTTTACTTTTGTCATTTATTAAATTTTGTAGCCGGCCGGAGACGAACACGGCTCCATTTCGGACGTGATTAATGTGCGTAGTATAAGACATACGCGATTTGAAAGTAACTCCTAAATATTTGACTGTTTTCTCCCAGGGCGTTTGGCCATAGAGTGATATTTGCCCTAACTTTCTGTACTGGCGAGGACCTTTGCAACGGTGCGGCGCGTGGGGGTAGGGGGAGTTCCACTTCACGCCGGTCTTCTGTGAAGTCGTGGTATTGGCCCGAACGGACCTCTCCATTCATACAAGATCGAAAACTGTTGACTGGCTCTGGGTAGAGTCATTTTTCGATGTCTAGTGGGGTCACTAAACGGGCTAATTGGGGCTAAAGGCCAACAAATAACTTTTTTTACACATAGATCAATTTATTTATTGAGAATTCATTCGGTCTTTTTTACTTAAACAGATAAATAACAACGTATAAACCCCACAACTCTAATTCAGTACATCAATGCGTGCCAAGAAATAAGGCCGTAAGAAGCCGTTTTCGAATCAATGCAGAGAAAACACTGCAGTCTTAGTTTCGCCATTACATTTGGCGAAACTCAGACTTGGCTGAATTATAGAAATAATTTAAAATTTCAAATACTTATTCATGCTCCAAAACAGACACTAACAGCTAAACAAAAATAACAACCTATAAATGTCCCACTGCTGGGCAAAGGCACCCTCTGTACAGAGGGTATCAGGGCATAGTATACCACGCGACCCCACTGCGGATTGGCGGACTTCACATATCTTCGAAATATTTTTTTATTAATATTTTGAAAATATGCAGGTTTCCTCACGATGTTTCGCTACACCGCTGAGCACGTGATTAGCCAACACAATTAACAATTTCATTGGTGCCGGATTGATTTTTCATTACATTTAAATTCACTTCATTTCACTTTTCAAAGACATTTGCGACAACAAACGACACCCAATATAAAAATATATTGGACCAACCGCATCTATTTATTGCACATAAATTAATAAAAGTCGGAACTTATACAAAGATTTATTATTACTTATTATATCTAATTGTACCGACATAAAGATTTACAAAAAAATAATATCCATAGTAAAGTATAGGCATTATGTTTCGACTTCACACTACTGCTTGATTCTAGTCTCTTTCAACTATTCGATTATTATTTTTTACTAGCGACCAGCCCCGGCTTCGCACGGATGCAATGTATTATACATATGGACCTTCCTCTTGAATCACTCTATCTAGTAAAAAAAAACCGCATCAAGACCCGTTGCGTAAGATCTAATCATACATAAGGGCAGACAGCGGTACGACTTTGTTTTATACTATGTAGTGATGCACAGCAAAGAGACGTTTACATTTCAAGTGACATTATACCACAGTCACTCACTTGTTTCGCCTTCACGGAACCCCTCAATTAACACTTAATGGTATGGTGTTAAAGTTGTAATTGACTTTTAAGTATTATTACGAATCTTTTGTACGGGAATATAGAAAGTGTTATTTATAGACTTTTTCAAGCATTTTTTTAAATTTTTCTCTCCGTAAGAACCATCCTCGTACTTCAATATTATAAAAAAGAATTAGCGAAATCGGTTCAGCTGTCCTAGTAATAATTATTACTCCAATATCCATCTGTTGACGCTTGTTCTCTTTTACCGGTGTGTCATGGCTAATCGACGGTATTTTAAATTGACAAAAACAAAAATATAACGACTGTGATTTATGATAAAAAATGTGTGCGTGTACTAGCGTACACTCGTAAGAAGTGAAACTTTTTTATGACGTTATTTTTCAAAAAATAATTTACTATATGCAACTTTACAGAAATTGGTTAAATAAAGTTAAATTAGATAAAGTTTAATAAAAGGCTTTTATTCTCATAGACATAAATACAAATTCTACAAGGCGTTAGTAGTAAATTAAAACACACTATGGTTTGACCGTTGTAATTAGTATGAGAGTCCGCAAAAATTGTTGATTAAAAAAACTTGCAACGTGAACCTTGTTTATTTCAATTAACCTCACGGACCCAAAATACAACCGCTTTGAATTTGTACATGGTCCTTCGTTGCCGAATAGTCAGCCAGTGAGTAGAAGGCAGACATTAGACTCGCGCGCGAGTGTTGTGAGTGAAGTTTTTTTGGAAAACCGAACCTTGCGGACGTTGGATCGACGTCGCAACCGCAAGTTCCAGGAGCCGATCGAGGCTTCGAAGAGCATTCGTGCTCTGAAGTATTAGAGCTAGCACTGTCATTACTACAAATATTATTGAATTTCATTAATTGTAATAGAATTATTACTATCATTGATGTCGTTATTATATATTTGTGTTATTAATGGCTTATGGTAACTGAAATACGAAATATATTGTTTACATTTTAGAATTAGAATTAAAATAAACCCTTTGATTTTGCTGATCACTTTAATATAACATATATATATATATATATATATATATATTGTTATGAACACACAAAGGAACTAACGCCATCTAGCGTCAACTATTAAAACCACTAAGAAAAAGATACCGCGTAACGCAAAAAACTTACACTAAATTTTTTTCCAACCCCGATAAAGAAGTTTCACTTCAAAAACACAGAACACAGATAAGAAACACACAGAATAAGTTTGGAACAACAAACTCAAATTCGTTTATAGTTTCCTGATGTTGAGCTCATTGATGTAGGCATAAAAAATACCCCTCCGACCGGGTTCCCGCCTTGACGTGGCGGAAGGGCTTAGTAGCCGTGGCTTGGTCACGGCGAAGCTAAGAGGAACGCACTTGGAGCGGCTCCAATTGGTATCATTAAGCCCACTCTAGATGCGTGCTGGAGGGTACAGGGGACAGGTCGAGGGTGGTAGAGGTGGAGCCACTCTCCTTGTCTTCTGCTACCGAGGAGGAGTCGCGGGGGAAGAGGAGGGTAGGTATAGCGTTTGCCGCGCTCCCTATCCTCCGCAACTCGGCGGGGCTGCGGCGCTGATGCAGTGGTGGTGGGGCCGCGGGGGGAGAGGAGTGTCGGTTTGCGGTGCGCCGTTCTCCCAACACTCCGCGGCCGAAACGTGGTGAGTGGCGGAGCCACAGACCAGGTCCACCGCTGGGGGCTTGGAGGCTTGCTGCTTATTGGCACTGGTTCTCCTGACTCCCATGGCTCCTGGTCAGCGAACGCGGGGAAGTTCGTTGGCCGGGAAAAAGGGGCCGAGTAGAAAGGTTGGAGGAGAGGGGAGTTGATCCCGGAGGGGGCTGCTGAGGTGGCCAGCGCTGGCAGGGTCGCGGAAGTGTGCGAAATCGTTCCCGTGACCCTGCCGATATGCGAATATGTGTAACATGGTGGGGGTTTTAGTCGTTGCGAGTTCGACATAACCCGCTCTTGCCCCCGCGAGGGCGGGTATGCGTAGGCATTTCCCCCACGTCGTCGTAAAAAAAGGCTTAAAAAATAAACTTAATTATTATTAGTTAATCTATGCTGATCGATGATTAATACAAAAGTTGGTCCACTTTTACTGCAATTTCATTGTTCTCAAATGAACAAAATGCCTTCGGTCCCAATTTTTTAATAGTTGGCAAAGCATCTGCGACCCGTCAGAGTTATAAATGTCTATGGGCGGCGGTAATCACTTAACATCAGGTGATCCGTACACACGTTTTCCCACTTTTCACATAAAAAGCCTATACATGTCCCACCACGCGACCGCAATGCGAATTGTTAGACTTCACAATACTTTGAAATGTTTTTAACTATGAATTCGAAAATATGCAGGTTTCCTCATCACATTTTTATTCATCGCTTAGCCCGTGATGCGTCAACACTTAAAATCGCAACGAAGAATTGAATTTGAACAAAAGTTACCCGAGCATATTGAATTAAAAGCGAGCGCCTGAATTCCATACTATCGAGCAATTTTGATAATTTTATGAGCAGGAAATTACAGACAAAGTGAGTCTGCGATTTTACTAGATATGTTATATTGATGAGACTACAAAAAGGTTTAGAGTAGTAAAATAAATGATTCATGTACCCAATAAAAACAATTACGGATTGTAGAAGGAACAGTGGAAACTAAAACCATTGAGTTTTAATGAAACATTTATCAAGTGCAGCCAAAACTATATACGCCCAATTTTAAAATTGCCTAAAGTGGAAGTAAATTATAATGTAAATATATTATAACATATCATAAATAACAAAAGATACAAAGCAGAATTTAAAAAAAAATTCCAGCAATAATTTCATGAATTATCTACCAAATATACAAAAAATATGTATATAAATATAAATCATAAAAGTATTGAAATATAATCTTTAAAATTTTAAAACAATGATTTAATTACGTGCATAAATTAAGATAGATTTATTGATTTATTGATTGTATACTTAGCCTTTCAATCAGTAAAAAATCTTAATCTAGCTTATATTCTAATGTAATAATATAGTAATGACTACTATAATATAGTAATTATTACGAATATAGTAATTGTAGGAATGAAAGTTTATTTCAATAAATAGGATCAAACGCCTGCCATTTCTAAGAAAGCAATGAAACAGTTTTATAAATTTGCTTTATTTTGATCATAATGATGATCACATGTGAAAATAAGTATAAGAATAATTATTAAGATAAATAAACTTCTAACACACTTAGAAGTAGACTAGTGCTAACAATTTAAGAGTATTTCAAATTGGTTGTCAGCGAAAATTGGGCTTTTCAAAGTCTAGTAAGCTGTTATGGGCTTCCAGGTTTATACCAACATTATATAACCATATCAATAATTATTTTTGTTAATCAAACAAGTTGTTCGCGTGAAAAGGAGATCCATGGTTATTTTTTAATGTTCGTAGCATTGAAGGGGGGAGGGGGGGAGGAAGCGATGGACGGTGGACTGTGCTCAAACTAAATGCTCATTGCTCACGTCATACACACGCCCCGCGCGTCCCGCACACCGCCCCGCTATCACCGTTCCGTTCGGCGACTGTCGAATGATTCAGTGACAAGCCCGCCTTGACGTAGACCTACTGTCAGAAATGCCGCGAGTTTGACTTGCCGCCGGGAATCAAGAGCAGCCTTCATGCATCTTTGCTTGCATCCGACGAACCACAAGTGAGATACGGCCGTGGACGAATTGTGTTTCACGTTCGCGACTATGAATCCGCCAACGTTATGACCTCGATGGCCTGTTACAGATGTCATCCGTCACCGCACGGGCAGCGGCGGTTTTATCACATCTTGGAAAATGACTGAAGCCCTCCCACGGCAGCATGACAAGCCGGTGAGTGTCGCGTAAGCCACGTGTGAATTAAAAACACTGCGCAGTTGTCAAAAAACGGCGGCGTCAATTACGCGCCTAATAGTTTTCCTTCCCGTTTCGTACGTAAACACATGACAGAACGGTGGCGGTGATTGGTAAAAACAGTATTATTTCCTAAGTAGTCAATTTACAAATCATCATTAATCACAAACTTGTGCTCTCCGTAACATAAAGATTTAACTCGACACATCGTAAGCAGTATTTAGTTTGTTGTCAAGTGAAACGCATGACTCGACTGTTGCCACCTGCGTACCAAATATAACTGGTTTTATATGGATTATAGACAAAAACCGATTGATTTATACGCGGATGCGGTGTGCATAGATTATTGCACTATGTTGACTATGTAAGCGTTAAAAAAACATTCGGTGTCCATATTATAAGAAAAATACATTCCGTTGTAGACATGTAAACTGTATACAAAGATTTACCTTATTATATCCATAGTCAACAGTAATTAGTTGTTGATATAATGTAAGAGGATGTCTACACAAAAATTCTTATACTTATATCTTAATGCTAGACATAATGACAAAACTAATATGCAGACGACGTACACGTTATTATGCTTTGCTCATTAAGAAAGTAAATACATTAAATATTTAAACGTCATAGCAGCTCTATTGTTCGAGGCCCTTGAAAATTATAAGATATTATCACACATCAGATATTAAACATCTTGAGTTCGTAATCTTTATTAAATGACCTAACGGAATACATAAACACTAACGCCCGGCTTCTGAAACATTGTAGAAGTCTTCTTACCAGCTGTCAAATGGATTTTCAAGTGTTATTTGAGTTGCCAAAAGTATAAATTTTAAAAACCAAACCGACTTCAATCAGAAAATTAAAAACGTTGTTAATAAATATAACATTCAATGATTGCCCTCGATTTCTCTGGGATGCCATCGTCAGATCCGGGTTTCCTTACCATGGTACCAACCATGGTACCAACCTTTCCGACGAAAAAAGAATCATCAAAATCGGCTCATAAACGGCGAAGTTATCCGCGAACACACATAAAAAGAAATAAAAATATATACGGTCGAATTGAGAAACCTCCTCCTTTTTTGAAGTCGGTTAAAAAGAATTGTTAAACTCTCTGAATCAGAATGATCTTCTTATTGGTCAAAATGATCGACTCAAAGAGTTTAACAATCTTTTTGGCAACTCAAATAACATTTGAAAATCCATTTGACAGCTGATAAGATGACTTTTACGATGATCAATTTTTCAGAAACCGGGTGTTAGTATACGACTTAGTAAGCTACGACAAATCATCAGTTGGGTTTCGAATCCAAATTCGGGGCTGTCAGAATTAGTAACACTGACTGCTAAATCATGTCTTATTTCAAGTCATTAACACTTACCGCAGTTAAAGACAAATAGTAAAAAAGTAAAATACTATGTCGTTAGAATATTATTATATCCCTGCCCATTACGAACCGAAAATTAAATTTTCATTGAAGTCCATTCGCCGGGAGCGAAAACTGTAACGGTTACAAACAAACACTTCAAACTCTCGACATTACCAAGTTCTATAAACCAAGTATGAAAACGTGTTTTAATGAATGATTAGATAAAACAGAATAGCTTCATTTTAAATATGAAACTGTTAGTCGATAAAGTCAATAACAAAAACAATTTTTTTTAATAAGTATCACCAATACTTTTCATTCTAATCACCGTTTAACTCTCCGTAGTATTTATTATATTTGTACTATAATTAACATATGCATATTATTTATAACATAGTTTTTTTTTGATACTTTCTGTGCACCTACCGAAGGTTTGGGAGATAAGCCTTTGCCATTAAGTCCGCCTCTGTACAGTTTGTGCATAAAGTATAAATAAAATAAATAAATAACGAGACTTTCTACGCGAACTTTATTGAAATCGCAGATTGTTTACGTATCAATCTGTAGTCACGGCATAAATGGCTGAGATTATAGATTGGTACTGGCATTGCTATATTCAGGTGAGACTGTAACGTAATGTCCTGATTCGCCGAAAAAAGAAGCAACCTTTTTCTTACCAGTGGTCCGGCTTTTCTTCTGACAACTGTCCCGAGAGCAGCCAATGACTGCCTTACAGTCCATGTCCTTTATTGAAGTTTAACATTTTACGGCACCATTCGACATGAAATGTTTTCTGGTCGTCTGTTAAATCATGTCGTATCCATCGAGTGCAAATCTTCCGAACCTCAGATGCATTCAAAATGTCTTTCTCTTGGCTTATTCCAATGCATACATCATAATGCAGTACGAATTTTCTGATGGTCAGTGCGTTATCAACTTTGGATTCTGTAACCGCAGTGCACACCCAATTTTTATATACATCATAATGCAGATGGTTACGTTCACGACTAAATTCTCCGAATGACGCATACACAGCTGCGCATTGGGTCTTGATCACCACATGCCAACTATGTCTCTGACAATTCTCTTGTTGACTTAGCCACGGCGAAAATCATAAAAAAAACATTGATCGAATATGTTCAGGAATAATAATATTTAATAGCGACACACAACTTTTTAAGGACGCCACAGAGTACAAACAAATGACAGCCTCGGAGATAAATAAAATAACAAGAGTCCAGAGTTCCATTGCCGTAATTACTTTTTAACTATTTTTCTTGTTAGTGGCCAGTTCCAGAGACTTTCAGTTTGCCTCTCGTAATACATGTCTTGTATTATTGAATGATATTCCTTAAACTTCATTGGATGAACACATTTTCCAATGAAGGTTTAGTTTTCTTAGTTCTTAACCTATATCAGCTTATCGCGTTAATTAGTATCTACAAATTGTGCAAAATAAAAAGGTATAAATACTAAATGCATGAGCATGTCCACATAGATGTTGCACCTGATATCGGCTCACGTGACAATGTCCACATAGATGACAACGTTAAAGCGAATTAATGTTCTAACCTAAAACATTCGACTGTGTAATTTACAGCTGGAAATTATTTGAACTTGAGTGGTCTATGCACGCCGTGTAGTTTCGCCGTGTTCATATGCACGTCCTCCAGTGTTCCTTCGCTAGACATGAGGGTTTTTTTCTTTGACTCGAAACTGGCCAGTTCTTGACAGACAGACTTAAACTCTTGTGGAGTGTAGAGAGATATAGTGACGAGACTTGAAGATTCTGAGCCGTTTACAAGGACGCTCCGTAGGTATATTCATTGAGGAATCCATTCAAAGCAATTGATAGTTTAACGATACCAGTTGACGTTTCATTGTCCAATGTAAGAAATAAAGAAAATTAATTCATGTACAAAAAAAGAACCAAAAATAGCCACAGCAAAAAACCTAAATTTAACAAAGTACATCAAGTACTAGTTGCATTAATTTTAAACTTCTAGCTGTTGGTTCATAATTGTAATCAATAGGTTAAAATATATCCGTTATATTCATAACTACGGATTTCATTTAAAACAGTTGAGCAAAAACTTCAAAAAAATGAACTTGCTAATTTCGGTCGTTTGATGAAATTCCAAAGACACTAACGTGGTCATCTTACAGATATTTGACATTGAGCCTGTATTTGGACATCTGACGACGATATGAATGGCCTTCCGTTTTAGCCACAGGTGTTGCTTAACACATGTAATGCATAATTCATCTTTCCTTATTAGAGTATAGTTAAATTTAACGGATAGATCAGAGATCTTTATCGTAAAATTATGGTCCGGTTTCAATATTCTATCTGCAGGTTTGTTTACTAGCGAGAGGTATTTGACATTAATACCTAATACGTACGTAAAATACTATTTCCCGTAACCAAATGTATAGATAAAGTCCAAAATGTCTTTCTTAACAAACAAGCATTTCATTTTATTTTAGACATATTTCCACTACCGGTATGTTAAGAATTCAAATATTGATAGCTACCTAACCTATTTATCATCATGACGTCGAAGTGGTTCTTTTTTTCTTATCTCTAATCCACATTGAATGCAGGAAGTACGATAGATAAGTTTTTTTATGTGAGAAGGTGGCAAGGGAGCTGGTGGTTCACCTGATGTTAAGTGATGGCCGCCACGCAAAGACGTTTGCATCACCCGTATGGTTGCAGACGCGTTACCACCCTATAATGATACCCGGCTAACTCACACACCAGACGACGCACAGAAGTTAGGCACTTCCACTTCACACCGGTCTTCTGTGTGGTCGTGGTACTGGTACACTATTGCGTGGCCTTACCACAGTAAGTGTTTAATAATAATAATAATGCCTTGTTTATTCCTTAATACAAACAGAAGAACAATAAGTATATAATAACTACAAAAATCCACCGTTAGGGAGCATCTTTAGTTAAAACCGAAAGAGAAGTTTTTGTATTTATGCTATTTTGTGTGGAAGGGGCTGGCAAGTAACCTAGTCCCTTCCACACAAAATGGCGCCAACTAACGACATCTGTGACCTTAATAATATAGGAAGCGCTATCCTGTTTTGTAAAGACGTTTAACGTGCATAAATTTCACGTGGACAAACACCAAGATCCCAAAAAATTCTCAGCGAGTCACATAAATTGTAGTCTAGCGTGGGAACCGAACCCCCGGCCGCCGAAGCCAATACCTTGGCGACTGCGCCACGGAGTCGACAAAAGCGTTAGTAGTATGGCTACTTTTAAAATAGTATCAAACGACTGGAATAATGCCAATAAAGTGTGCCTTCATGTCCGCAGCGTAGTTCTTGAAGATGGAAAAAATTATTCCATTTTTTTTATTATTTTGAATAAAAGAAATAAATGAAAACAATTAAAATGACTTGAGATCCTTAAACTTATTAAAGCTTGTACATACACTTTTCAACGAATATGCTTATAATTATAGTAAAATTAATTGGTAGAAAAAAAATCGAAAAAAAGTTAACAACGTAACAACTTACTTCTGTCTATAATTATCATCCTTGTCAACTTAAAATTGCATTAAAGACAAGTATAAGTATCAATTATTT